AAACGCCCTAACCTTTGGAATAGAATGGATAGGATTAAAATCAACTGGTATAAATACAGATGTAACAAGAGAATAAAGAGAGAACCTGGATGGTCACAAGATGGCGGCACTGAAGGAGGATCAGAGCTACGGGCTGTCATGCGGGCGGGTGAGCGACAGCAGCAAGGTGTCCATGTTTCACGTGAAGCTCACCGACAGTGCCCTGAGAGCCTTTGAGACCTACCGCGCCAGCCAGAATTCTGTTTCACTGAGACCATCAATTCGATTTCAAGGAAGCCAAGGGCACATCTCCATCCCCCAGCCGGACTACCCCTCAGAGGCTCAGATCTTCTCCTTCTACCTCTCCAACATCGGCCGTGACAGCCCCCAGGGCAGTTTCGACTGCATCCAGCAGTACTTCTCCAGCCATGGGGATATACACCTGGACTGCTTGGGTAGCATCCAGGACAAAATCACAGTGTGTGCCACCTATGACTCTTACCAGAAGGCACGGCAGAGCATGGCACAAGCCGAGGAAGAGACACGGAGTCGGGGTGCCATCGTCATCAAGCCCGGAGGCCGCTACCTGGGCAAGAAGGTTTCGTTTAAGAAACCAGCCCCACAGGCGATGGATACTGTGCCCTCCCGGAAGTGGGCGACCCCCATTAACCTGGCAAATGTCATCAAGAAAAGTGGTGTTAGCGGGGGCGTTGGGGTATCTTAGAGGCCTTTCCATGACCGGGTGCTACATCTTCTGGCACTGAGGCCCTACTGGAAGGCTGAACTGTTGCTGCAGCTACAGAAGGATGGCCTGGCGCAGGCAGACAAGGACACGCTGGACAGCCTCCTCCAACAGGTGGCCAACGTGAATACCAAGGATGGTACTTGTACACTGAAGGACTGTGTGTACAAGGATGTGCAAAAGGACTGGCCTGGCTACTCAGAAGGGGACCAGCAGCTGCTAAAGCGCATGCTTGTCAGGTAAGGCCACCTCTTCTGGGCCTGGGGTAGATCTCAGGGTGCTGGGTTGGCCTTGTCTAGTTCCAAAGGCTTCAGCGCTGAGAGCTGGGTAGAAAGGCCCGTGGGAACTCTGGCCATCCTCCCCATGCCTGGACAGCCCACCTTGGCCTCCTGCTGGGGGAAAGGCCAGCCCCCGCTGTGTGGGCTGGGGAGCATACATCATTCTCCAAGGGCTTCTGCTTAGGAGGCTGTGCCTTCTTCTTAGAACCATTTAAGAATGTGAAGCAGATGAAACAAAGCTCCCCGCAGATGTGACTAAGCAGGTTAAGTGCACCCTCTAGGGTTAGGGACCAGAGGTCAGGAGTGGCCTAGGGGGCTCTGGGAGGAGTGGGTAAGCGGCCTGGTCAGCCAGTGATTGATTCCTTCTCTACTGATGCTGGATGAGCACTAATTAGTGCTTAAGTGATTTCTCAGGGACCTGGAGCTCTTTATGGAGGTTTTGTTTTGTTTTTCTCTCTTTTAAGTTCAGCTCTTTAAAGCAGTAGTAACTGCATCTGGAAAGCAAAGCTGAGTTGGGGCCACTCTAGGTGAACCCCAAGTTCCTCCTGAGCCCTGCAGGGCACTCATCCCCGAGCCACCAGGCCTGAGGTCCCTGCTCTGGCTGTCCAAGGTTTCTGGGTGCTAGGGAACTGAAAGGAGACAGTCTCTGTAGAAGAGACTCCCTCCCCCATGTCCCCTCTCTGGCGATCTGTTGCCCCAGCTAAACATGTTAGGTTGGCACTGTCCCCTCCTGCAGGTGTTTTCATTCATCACATAATTTTTGGTAATAAAGGTCCAGTGTTGAAATGGCTGATTACGCCTACCCAGGTACTTTGAGGTGGCAAGGGGCACTTGAGGGGCATAGCGAGGCTTCTGTCCGTCCTTCTTTTAGAGCCTCTCACCAGATGCCTAAGTTCCCAGACCCCAGGGCCTTGTCCTCGCTGAATTTCCAGGAAGGGGCATGGCTGAGGGTTAGTAGCCCATGTGCATGTTTCCATACAAGAGTGTGTGCGCATGTGTGTGTATGGTCAGTAGGAAACAGCACTCAGAGGTTCCCCACCCAGCCCTGTGCACACATCCACATGGACAGCCTTGCAGGTGATCTGGGGCAGGGGGGCAACGTGGCCCCCCAGGGTCTGAAAACTTACTTTGTCCTTCCTGTTCTTGTGTGGTTGGGAAAAGGTCTCACTATTCTTCCTCCTGCTTCCTCTAATTCTGCCACTGGGGCACGGTGCTCCTAGACTCTTCCCATTGTCTTCCCTATTATCTTTTCCCTTTTTTTTTCTTTTAGGAGGTTTCTTTGGCTTCTCCCAACCTGTCCTTTTGGCCATCATTTCTAGTTCCCAAGAGTCCTTCTTATTCTCTTTTTGTAGCATCATGTTCTTTCATTTATTTTTTTAAATAAATATGTTTTTATTGATTTTAGAGAAAGGAAAAAAGAGGGAAGAGAGAGAGAGAGAAACATCAATTGGCTGCCTCTTGCACGCCCTCTAATGGGATTTGAGCCCACAACTTGGGCACATGCCCTGACCGGGAACTGAACAGGCAACCTCCTGGTGCATGGGACAATGCTCAACCAACTGAGCCACACCAGCCGGGCGTATCATGTTCTTATCCATGGGAGCGATGCCATTTTTAATTTACTCTTAAGGATATTTTTAAAAAATAATAACTTTATTGAGATACAGTTCACTTAACACAAGTCACCCTTTTAAAGAATACAACCTGCCCTAGCTGGTTTGGCTCAGTGGAAAGAGCGTCAGCCTGGGGACTGATGGGTCCCCGGTTTGATCCCAGTCAAGGGCATGTACCTTGATTGCAGGCTCAATCTCTGGCCCTGATCGGGGTGTGTGCAAAGGCAACCAACTGATATGTCTCTCTCACATCGATGTTTCTCCCTTCCATTCTCTCTAAAAATCAATGGAAAATATCCTCAGGTGAGGATTAACAACAAAAAAGTGTACAACTTACTGGTATTTAGTGCATTCGCAATGTTGTGCAGCCATGATCTCTAATTCCAGAACATTTCTATCACCCCAAAGGAGACTCCTCATTAGTAGTCACTCCCTCATTGCTCTCCCCTAACACCTGGCAATTCGTTTTCTCTTTCTATGGATTCGTTTGTTCTGGACATTTCATATAAATGGGATCATACACCATGTGGCCTTTTGTGTCTGGCTTCTTTACTCATATTGCTTTTAAGGTTCATCCAGGTTGTAGCATATGTCAGTGCTTCATTCCTTTTTATGGCCAAATAATACTCTGTTAGACACGTTTTGTTTATTTATTCATCTTTCAATGGACACCTGGGTTTCGCAGACTCACCTGTGTGGATTCCAGACCGTCTAGTCCAACCTTATGTCTCACCGCCCTCCGTCTCAGCCTCACCCTAGCACACCTGACCAGTGCCCGTCTGCAGGGCCTGGTTGGGCTCCCCGTGGGTTCATGCAGGAGCCAGTCTGCGAGGCCGGCCGGGAGAGAGCGCACTGCCTGCCTGGCTTCCGTGCAGCGCCACTAGGTGGCCCAGAGGCCCACACTGCACCCCAGCCCGTGGCATCCTGCCGCGCTCTCCACATGGCCACATGGGGACTTGGGCGCTGTGATTCAGGCAGAGGGGGCGTGTCTGGACCAGGAATTGAACTGGCAATGTACAGGACAGGGAGAGAGCGCACTGCCTGCCTGGCTTCCGTGCAGCGCCACTGGGTGGCCCAGAGGCCCACACTGCACCCCAGCCCGTGGCATCCTGCCGCGCTCACCATATCTCCACATGGGGACTCGGGCGCTGTGATTCAGGCAGAGGGGGCGTGTCTGGACCAGGAATTGAACTGGCAATCTTCTGGAGTACAGGACAATGCTTCAACCAACTGAGCCACCTAGCCAGGACTGTAGGGGGAAGGGGGAGGACTTTTAATCAAATTTAGATTATTCCTTAGGATTGATTCCAGAAGTGGAATTATTGTATCAAAAAGAAACCTTATGGTTTTTGACATGCATAGACATGCAGCTTTTTTAAAAGTCAGAAACAATTTATATTCCCACCAATAACATATAAGAATTCCCATTTCATCACATTCCTATCGGAACTTTGTATATTTTTTTTCTAATCTGCAAATTTGATAGGCAAAAAAATGCTATTTTGTCTTTGTTATTAATGAGGTTGAGCATATTTTCCAGTTATTTTAAAACTAGTTTTGTTTTTTTCCTTTTATGAATCATCTATGTCTGTTAACAAAGCATTCCTAGTCAGACACTCTGCTTACCAAGTTTTAAAATGTTCCTTAAGATGATGTACAGCTTTTTCCAGCACGTAGCTAACAAAGTTAGAACTCTCAGAACTTTCTTCAAGAGGGATCTTGAGTGTGACATTGGGGGAAGGCAGAATGCTTAAGTCTATCATCGTTTCATCTTGTTTGGAAACGTTTCCTTGGTGAACACCTGGAACTACCTGAGAAGAAGGATTAAACAGTAAAAGATCACTAAATCCCAGTGCACAGTCAGGATTAATTTAATACCACATTAGTCAGGATAAGATAGGTTGTGCTGAGGTAACAAATTTGCCCCAATATTCCAGCGATTTCATACCACAAAAATTATTTCTCACTCATGCAACATGTCCATATGGGCTCTGTACATAGACACTCAGGACCCTCATTGACAGAGGTATGTCATCTCCTAGCTGTAGCATATGGACCACGTGGCTTTCTTTGTGGCCTCGGTAGAGAAAGAGACCCTTCACTATATCTCAGACTAGAAATAACACTTGCCATTTTGTTCACATTTCCTTGGCCAGAACTTGCCACCTGGCACCACTTAACTGTAAGAGAAGCTGGAAATGTGAGTGAGCAAATGGAACATTTGGTGAGTGTGACTGACTGTGCCACAAACATTAACATGATGCACCAAGTTTTATACATGTGCGTGTGGTTTTTATAAGAACCAGTAATCTGAAATGCATGATAGTTGCTGTCTTAATGAATTCTCAAGTGCATACACTTTGACTTTAACACTTTAAATTAAATTTTTCTGATATGCAACTTGATGTAATCTTAAGAGAACTATTTTGAAATTTTTTTTCAAATAAAATCCCTTATAAATAAATTAAAGCAAAATATTAAGCAACCTGGGCATGTGTCCTGACCGGGAATTGAACCAGTGACCTTTTGGTTCATGGATTGGTGCTCAACCACGAGCCACACCAGCCTGGTGGGGTGAAACTTTTAAGGGGATGAGGCAAGTGAGATTGAGAAGAGGGAGAAGCCAGTCGAGGATGTGGCTTCAGGTGACCTCTATCCGCAGTCTGATCCTGCAGGGAGCTCTGGAGCATAAGTAGCCCCAAGGACAACACTTCGGAGAAGGTGCAGGCTGAGCAGTTAGCAGCAGCACCTGCCAGAGCTGGTAGCTGGATCCCCAGAGATCGGGACAGGTCACCAGCATTACATGCTGCCCAAAATATTGCATCTTCAATGACTCTGTCCAGTGATTTTTGTATTCAGGTCATTTTAGGAACCTGTCAATACTGACCTCACCAGGAATTGCTAACCTGCCTCCTTTGTTTATTAACGTAATGTGTGTGGCAGGGCAAGGGTAGTCAGGAAAGAAATGTAGTCACTGTTATATATCACATAAAAGGAGTTACTGATTGAATGTGAGAGACATGGTACAAATCCATGGCAATATGTTTTTATGTAAAGGTTAGTGTATATGTTTAATTTTCAAGGTGATTTAGCAGCTTATTATGTAAAAAACTAATAAGAGCTATAATTTACAGAGCTCTTGCTTTGTATAAGGAACCTATACTAATCGCTTTACAGATGTACATTTTAAAGTAGCTAATTATTAGCCCCATCTTTCAGGTAGAAAAACTGAGGCCTGGAGAAGTTGAGGAATTTTCCCAAAGTTACTCAGCTGGCTAGTTTCTGAGTTAGCTTTTGAACTCAAGTTGCTGAATCTGAGTCTTCTCTCTTAAAGTCCATATTGACCAAGTTTTATTTATTTATTTGTTTGTTTGTTTGTTAATCCTCACCAGAGGATATTTTTCCATTGATTTTTAGAGAGAGTGGAAGGGAGAGGGAGAGACAGAGAGAAACATCGATGTGAGAGAGACACATCGATTGGTTGCCTCCTGCACGTACCCCAACCAGGGCTGGGGAACCTGCAACCAAGGTATGTGCCCTTGACTGGAATCAAACCCGGGACCCTTCCATCTGCGGGCCAATGCTCTATCCACTGAGCCAAACTGGCTAGGGCATATTGGCCAAGTTTCTTCAAGGTTACCTGTATCAGTTATAGCACCACAGCTCTAAGCAGAATTGGCCATCTCTAGATTACCAAGTATTTTGTGTTTTAAATTGGTTTTCTTTATGGAGTTTTCTGTTTTCTAAAGACCATGTGCACTACATTATATCAGGTTAGCCTGAATATAATCACAATGGAAAAATGAATATCCTCCTACAGTTTTTTTTCAAATACACAAATCAACAGAAAAATCAACGTATGCACATGTAACCTCCATATCTGTGCTTGGGTCCTCCATTACCTTTCTGGAACTGAAGGTGCTCTCAGTTCCTGGAGTCTGGTTTGCCAGTTCAGCCACCCAGCCAAATTCCTCTCTCATCTCCTCCATCAGATACGCAGTGTCCTCCAGATGATGTTGAGTCACCTGGAGAATCTGCACGTACTGCTGATCGGATATGTTGACCAATTTAAGGGCCTCATCTACTTTTGTGTGTAGTTCGGGTACATCAGGACAGTCTAACAAAGAAGAAGGTAATGCGGTAAAGGAAAAGGTCCATGACATTTGGAGTTAGGTGATGTGAGTCTAAATCAGCCGTGGGCAAACTACGGCCCGCGGGCCGGATCCGGCCCGTTTGAAATGAATAAAACTAAAAAAAAAAAAAGACCGTACCCTTTTATGTAATGATGTTTACTTTGAATTTATATTAGTTCACACAAACACTCCATCCATGCTTTTGTTCCGGCCCTCCGGTCCAGTTTAAGAACGAATTGTGGCCCTCGAGTCAAAAAGTTTGCCCACCCCTGGTAAATCCTAGCCCGTTAGCTTTCTATTTCCAGCCTTTTGACCTTGAGTGAGTTCTCAACGAAGTAAAATGGGCGGGAATGAAATAATGTAAAGTGCCTGATCACACGGTGTACAATGTAGACTTAGCAGATGTTACTCTTCCTTTTCCTTCTTTCTGTGCTGTCTCCGAAAGCCATTAGGGCTGCTCACTGATATTCTGATCAGGACACGTGGGGGAACACACTTCCTGCCACCTTGAAGTCGAGCACAACCTTCTTCAAAGAGATGTGTCTCACTTCGGGAGGAAGCCTTTGAGAACAGTTTGGGATTTATCATGTTCCCGGTGGTGGAGGCTCTGTCATCCTAGTGAGGAGATGTGGAGCAGGACCTCGCTCAAACTGTAACTGGCGTGCTGTAGAGTGAGAAATACTAGTAAACCTTTGTGTTTACAAGCCACTAAGATCCTCCAGTTCTTTGTTATTATTGCCAAACAGCCCATCCGAATGGTAACAGTGTTATAGGAACTTATATAGGTGTGCTGATGAGTGGGTTAATATTGTGTAAAGATTATCTGTATACTATGGAAGTTTCCATGTGTTAGGGCATTTTAAATCATGAGAGATCGGTGTTGTGGAGAAAGACCAGTCTTGATAAACTGTCTTTTGCTGTTTACTAAAAAACCGTGCCTTCAGTAAGATAGGAGTGGGGAGAAATCCACCAATCAGAAGCCAGGTAACTACCTCATCTCAGGTCTTAAACATCCTTTATTAGTTCTTTTATTATTATTTTTTAATCCTCAGCTGAGGATATTTTTCCATTGATTTTTAGAGAGAGTGAAAGAGAGAGGAAAGACAGAAACACATCAACTGGTTGCCTCCCACATGAGCCTTGACAAGGGCCCTGTACCTGGCCCAGGAGGAGCCTGCGACCAAAGCACATGCTCTTGACAGTTGAACCCGGGACCCTTTGGTCCTCAGGCCAACGCTCTATCCACTGAGCAACCCGGTTAGGGCTATTGGTTCTTTCTGATACAAAGGTATAACCCAAGGTTACCTGGGGCCTCACACTTCTGCAGATTATTTTGGGATCTGTAGGAGAGGGAGACCTTTGTACTTGTAGGTAAATACAGTGTAATAGTGTATGTTTGAAAAGTTATCCAAGAAACTATTATGAAAACAAAGTGAGTCACAGATAACAAGATACAGTATACATTTGAAAGGACATATGGATATCTTTTTAAAGTGTCTTCATTTGCAATTTCAGTTATATTTTAGAATAGTGATATAAAGATTTTTTTTATTTGTGGGGGGAAGGTGGTGATTTCCCTCGTGATCTTAGGCAAGCAGATTTCTACAAGGGACGCTCATTTACTCTCTTTGAGAGTGCCTGGGTGGGCTAGGATGGCCCCGTGCACATTTCGGGGTCCTCAGCTGGCACCTCTCATCTTCCAGAAGGCTAGCCGGGGCTTTTCCACAGAGTGATGCATAGGTTTCTGACAGCAAGAGACAACCCTTCGTGTGCAAGCACATTTCAACCCTCCACTTGGGTCACATTTGCCAGTATCTCGTTGCAAATACCTTTTTCTAGTTTTATTAAGAAAGGATTGACATATATCACTTTATGAGTTTAAGGTGTACAGCATGATGGTTTGATTACATATATTTCGAAAGGATTCCTGCATTATGCTTAGTTAATGTCCATCACCTCACATAGATACAGGAAAGGGAAAAGAAAATGCTCCTGTGGTAGAACTCTCAGAATCTACTCTCTTAACAACTTTCATATAAGCCATACAGCAGTGCTAACTAGACAGCATGTTGTCCATTACATCCCCAGCACTTATTTATGGTATAACTGGAAGTTTGTACCTTTTCACCACCTTCCTCCAACCCCCTCCCCTATCATCTGTATTAGTTTATGACAATCAGAGATTATTCACTAAAGCTTCTAACTGCTTGAAAGGAGGTTAACGATGAAATGTTTGAATGGGACTGTTTTTGTAAGTGGTTAGTATATTAGTGTGTATTTTTCTCTTATGAAAACTTCTGTTTCTGTGTGCAGTCTCACACTATGACTTAAAAAACAGACACTTGAATAATGAGCATCATTACCATGTCAGACATCTTATTGGATCCTCAGAACATCGGTACGAAGGAGCTATATTGAGAGACCCAGTTAGCAATTCAGAAAAAATAAGGCCCTCCTGGCTCTAACAAAAAGGTCCCGTTCATATTCAACCTCTTACTCCAAGCCCCTAGCCACGCTTTTTAGAATGTCCTTCCTGTAGGGCTTTGGCAAACAGAAGCACCAGAATCAAAAGCTCTTCTTGGCTTTTGTAAGAAATTTTGTGTTCAGGTCCTAGTAGGGTGACGGAGCAACTTTATTTTTTTATTTAATTCTTACCTGAGGATATTTTTCCATTGATTTTCAGAGAATGGAAGAGAAAGGGAAAGACAGAAATATCGAACCCGGGATCCTTCAATCCGCAGGCTGAAGCTCTATCCACTGAGTCAAACTAGCTAGGGCCAAAGGAGCAACTTTCCTTCCCGGAAGTACAGGGAGGTGAGGGAAGGGAGAAGGGAAGCGGCGTGGGGTCCTGTGGGCAGGGCAAAGGGTTTCTCTCCGGGGGTGGAGCAAAGGCCATGTCAGGTCTGGGAGAGCAAAGTCGGCTTGGGGTTGTGAGGAGCAGCCACTTCCCATTTGTAAACACCAATTAGTAATTAACCCGCCAAGTGGGAAAAGTTAGTGCCACTTTCAAAAAGAAAAGAGAAATCACTTGGCGAAAACTTTGCTTTCTTAAGGGGAAGATTGCCTTCATCGGTGGGGTTTCTTTCTTTCCTTCCTTCCTTCCTTCCTTCCTTCCTTCCTTCCTTCCTTCCTTCCTTCCTTCCCTCCCTCCCTCCCTCTCTCTCTCTCTCTTTCTTACTTTCTTTCTTTCTTTCTTTCTTTCTTTCTTTCTTTCTTTCTTTCGCAAGAAAGAAGGAGTTGTCCTCATTTGTTCCTAGTTCTCTTTTGCACACAGTTGGGTTGGTTTGGTCTTCAACCATAAAAACTTGCACAGGAACAGGGAGGGAATTTTAAAAAGGGAAAGAGTGATTTTACCTACTTTTCAATAATAGAAGTTTATAAACTACACTGAGCACCTCCATCAGGAGATGAGCTCGCTAAAAAAGTGCTTGAAGGGAAGCAAATAAATCCACAATGCTTGTAAAAGTGAGTTGTTGTTTTTTTGTTGTTGTTGTTTTTACCTCTGACTAGAATACTATTGAAACCCTGAGAAAATAATAATTATTTACCTTCCCATAGATAATCCTGACATTTTTGGCATCTTGCATGACAGTGGAAACATTCTGACGAATTCTGGCCAAGTTCTCCACACGGCACTGTCTTTGAACTCAGGCCTCCAGGGTCAGCGTCTGCAGGTAACACAGCATTTACACGTCAGTGTCATTACAGTCTGTGCTTCCAGGGAGTGGATAACAATGCCATTTCTTTTTCTTACCGGTGCTTTCAAAATCGTCTTCCTGTACTTAATCATAGGCATGCATGTTGGTGCAACCACATGCTAAGACAATTTGACATCTATTGAAAGTTGTATATATCCTCTAATGCAGCAATCTCATTACAAATTATTATTACTCATCATTATGAGTACACTCCCTTTGCCCCACCCCCAGAAAGAATTTTATTTTCTGGAAGAAATCATGAGGAATTATTAATGCTAACTGTTGTTCAGAGAGAGACTCTTGATGGGGTAGGAGAAGACAGCTTTCATTAATTTTGTTTCTTTGTATATATGAATTCTTTTAAATTTAGCTTATTTTTATCACTATTATTTCTGATGTCAGTGGGGTTAACTAAATAGGGGATTGTGCCTGGCTGGAGTGGCTCAGTGGTTGAGCATTGACCTATGAACCAGGAGGTCATGGTTTCATTCTGGGTCAGGGCATATGCCTGGGTTGTGGGCTCAATACCCAGTGTGAGGCGTACTGGAGGCAGCTGATCAATGATTCTCTCTCATCATTGATGTTTATGTCTCTCTCTCTCCCCCTCTCCCTTCCTCTCTGAAATCAATAAAGATATATTTTTTAAAAAATAGGGAATTGTAAGCTACTTTTCTCTTTAGATTTGTATTTTAAAATTTTAATAATTATTTTAATTTTTTAAAGCCATATTGCAAAATATGTTGTAGTTTCAAAGATATTAAAAATGTCTGTTTCTTGTCCAGTCAGCATGGCTCAGTGGTTGAGCGTCAACGTGTGAACCAGGAGGTCATTGTTTGATTCCCGGTCAGGGCATGAGCCCGGGTTGAAGGCTAGATCCCCAGTGTGGGGCATGCAGGAGGCAGGCGATCAGTGATTCTCATCATTGATGTTTCTATTTCTTTCTCTCCCTTCCTCTATGAAATCAATAATATATATATATATCCAGCACATTAAAATATATGTATTTTAAATGTCTGTTTCTTGCCTAGCTGGCATGGCTCAGTGGTTGAGCATCGACCTATGAAACAGGATGACAAGATTCGATTCCCGGTCAGGGCACATGCCTGGGTTGTGGGCTCAAACCCCAGTAGTGGGGGTGCAAGAGGCGTTCGATCAGTGATTCTCTCTCATCATTGATGTTTCTATCTCTCTCCCTCACCTTCTCCCTTCCTCTCTGAAATCAATAATATATATTTTAAAAAGGAGCTAAGTTCAAAATGTCTTCTCATTAGATGGATTTTCTAGAGGCCATAGGTTTACTTTTCACTTACCACCTGTCCAGAAAAGTGATAGAAACCACATGTAAATACCCTCCAGCCCCTGCCTGCCTATCCTATAGAAGAAAACCCTAATATGCAAATTGACTGAAGAGCGGAATGACTGCTCTCTATGATGCACACTGACCACCAGGGGACAGATGCTCAATGCAGGAGCTGCCCCCTGGTGGTCAGTGTGCTCCTACAAGGAGAGCACTGCTCAGCCAGAAGTCAGGCTCATGGCTGGTGAGTGCAGCGGCGGTGATGGGAGCCCCTCCCGCCTCCACAGCAACACCAAGGACTCCTCGGGGGATGTTCACCTGCCAGCTTAGGCCTGCTCCCCACGAGTGGGCCTAAGCTGGCAGTTGGACATCTCCCAAGGAGTCCCAGACTGCGAGAGGGTGCAGGCGGGCTGAGGGGACCCCCACCCACCCAGTGCACAAATGTTGTGCACCAGGCCTCTAATTTTTAATAAATAGCCTCATGTGTTCTGGGAAGAGAATGTTTACATTGTTGAGCTTGCTGCATACCATCTGGTTAGGGTAGGGTTACTGGAGAAAGAAGAGTATAAAGGTATAACACTGGCTATTTTGTTTTTGTTTTTATCTTTTGCATTTATAGGGGACCCTGGATCTTCAAGTTACCACTGAGGTGAAGGTGGTTTGAGGGGCAGGGAGAAGGGGGCCCAGGAGCCAGCTGAGAGTAGGGGCTGGTGCCAGAGTGTGTGAATGGGGAGGACCCTCTTGCAGACTGGTGGAAACGCACATTCTGAGTTGGTGGTGGAGGAGGGAGTTGCAGTGGTTGGGAAATTGTTTAGATTTCAACGGTCTGAGTTACTAGTACTCTTGTGCACATTTGAATGTAGCAACTCATGTGTACGATTGCTACACAAAGTGAAAGCTAGGGTGGGAGGAGGGCATAATTTTGTTTCAATGAACATGTTCTTTATCGTTGGACTGTTATTCCAAGACAATTGATAGCTACATAAAAATGCAGGCAAAACTTATCCAATATCATCCCCGCATTGATATATTTAGTGTGTTGTCCTTACGTTGTCCTGAATATTTGGTGAACTTGGAATCTCAGAAGGGAATACCAGACGAAACACCTGACTTACCAGAAAAGTCCACCAGACCCTGAAATAGAACCTGATGACAATTCCAGTAACGATGGCTGTTCTCTCAAGGAACAATGGGACGGGAAGGATGTAATGCGTGTTTTCCTGGCTGCAGTTTCTGACGGTGTGAGGGAAGCCCCTCCTCCATAGAGGCCTGCTATGCAATGTCAGGGCAACTTGGAGAATTTGATTCAAATGTTGCCAGTGACAGCTGATATAATTAGAAAATAGTCAGCTAAAAGGAGCCCCTTTTTTCCTACATACAAAAATCTGTATATAATTAACATATACAAGCTGATGAGTTTGGAAATAAGTATACACACATGCAATCATCCTCACAATCTATGCCATAAAATTATCCATCAACTCAAAAAAAATTCTCCTGCCCTCTTATTTATTATTATCATTATTATTGTTGTTATTATCAACAACTCTTAATATTAGAACTACCCTCTTAGCAATTTTTCAAAGTGTCCAATAGAGTATTGTTAACTATGGACAGCATGCTATGCAATAGATCTCTGGGGCTTACTCATGGTTTATAACAGAAACTTTATTCCCTTTGACCAACACTTCCCCATTTCCCCTTCCATCCTGCACCTGGCTACCACCATTCTGCTCTTTGCTTCTAAGAGTTTGACTAGTTTAGATTCCGCATATAAATGAGGGCATGCAGTATTTGTCCTTCTGTGTTTGGCTTATTTCGCTTCACATAATGTCCTCCCGGTCCATTCATATTGTCATAGTTTAGTTTTCCTGCCAGAGGGGAGCAGCCTTTTGCTTGGCCTAGTGGTCGGTAGGAAATAAGTCCAAGGAGACGCAGATCTCACAGTTGGCCCACGCGGCCACTCATTGCTGAGATGCTGCGTCCCAGTCGCTCTACAGAAGCCCCAAGACGTTTCCCCTTCTGCCTTGAAACATAAAGCAGAATTGTTTTTCCAACATGAACTATTAAGACGTGGGCATGAGCGATATTGGTAGAAGGCAATTCTTTTTTTTTTTTTTAAGTCCTCACCCAAGGATATTTTTTTCCATTGATCTCGAGAGAGACTGGAAGGGAGGAAGGAGGGGGAGAGAGACACACACACATCGATTGGTTGCCCCCCCCTACGCCCCCCTACTTGGGCTGGGGAACCTGCAACTGAGGTATGTACCCTTGACCGGGAATCAAACCGGAGACCCCCTCAATTTGTGGGCCAAGGCTCTAACCACTTTGCCAACCGGCCAGGGCAGTAAAAGGCAATTCCTATCTTTTACAGAAATTCCTATTTCTGTAGTTTTGGGTTTGCCTGGGAGCATTTTCTGTGGTTTTGTGCATACATGTTATGACGTAAGGAATTACAGTAGTGATGCAGAGGAGGCCATGGAGGGCACTAAATATGACCTGGTTTTCTGTGACACTATGCTTCTTACCACACTGGGAGTTGAGGAGACTGATTTTAAAGAAACTCCTGGATGTTCCAGCAGAATCGAGCTGAGCATCTACATGAGTCTTAATGAAGGAGGAAACCTCTTCCCCCGCGAAGTTCTCACCCTACCAGCATTTTCTTTTTCAGCTTTGAAACTTTGTTTTAATGACAGAACAGCCCCACAGAGCTCTGGAGGAGGATGGGAGAGGGATGGTGTTTGGCAGATTTCAAAGCTTCTAAAAGGCTCTGAAACTTCGATTCTCCAGAAATTGCCACTCTCAGAAACATTGTACAAGGACTTAGAAATGTCTAGCATTCCCACAGCTAAATAAAACTTGACTTTAGCGTGAACATCTAAGTGAAAATAATCTTTTAATACTCGCCTTGGTGTTTTGGCCGGTCCTCCATGGCATTCAGTGTCTCAGTGACGGTGGTACTGAGACTTCGGTAAACGGAGAGACTGAAATCACAAAACAGCTGGAAGAGGCCGGGACCGTCCCAGCTCTGCACGACATCAGCTTTTTTGGTTGGCTCTTTGAATAAAGCTGGGAAAACGTAAGGCTCGATTACATCTGTATCTGACATGAAATATGACCGAAAAGCCTGGTCAAATTCTCGCTCCATCTGTTTGAAGACGTTAAAACTCCTGTTAAAGAGAAATCTCACGTCCACAGTCAGTTGGCTGAACATGTGCTCTATTTGGGTCACTTGTGCATCTTCCTCCAGGACCTTTTCAGCGACAGGGAGCTCTTTTTCCTTCTCTTCATGGAGAGGAAACAGGAATTGATATATCTTCCTAAAAAACTGTCCAATCTGTGGGGTTGGGGACAGAAATGGAATAGAATTTTATTTTCTTTCTGGGCTATTTTTTTAATTGTAAATTTTAAAGTAAGCAGACAGTAGTTGTAAGTCAAGAACAAATCTGGGCAAACTAGGAACAGGTAATTCAATGGAAGGTAATTTATTAACACTCTTGTATGGGCTTTGGCTTTGACGCTGGAAATAGGATCTGAAATTCCTTTTGGTTTATGTTTGCCTATCAAAGGCCTAACAAGGCCAAGTTTTCAAGATTGTTGGCAAGCCACAGGCTGGCGGTGGTTGGCATGCCGTGGTCCAAAGGTCACAAAGAAGGCTCTGGTCTCACCTCTATCTTTGTATCTTAGTTCTTCTCTTTTCCCCTTCGGTGGAATATCATTAGTGTCTTTATGTTCTCCTCTTTCTCATCTCATCAAAACATTCACACTGAAGTGTAGATGCCTAGTACTGCTAAACAGGTTACTTAGGATAGTTACTCGTTTGCAGTGAGCAGAGCCCTTGTAGCTGTAGTGAACGGAATGACGCTCTAATTATAGAACTCCCTGCTCCTTGGGAGGAGTTTCCAGCAGTCACACCATGTCCTACTTCATCTATGGGACAGCTAAGTTTGTGCCAGAACATATTGCCTTTATATGATAGTGATATGGCTGCTACGTTGCGTGTTGTGGAACGTATCAACTACCGAACATCACTGCTGTAGCATCTCACTGTGGTTCAAAGAATTCTCCAGAAATTCTTAGAGGACTCATGCCATTCTCAAAAAGTAATCTGGGTGGATCGTCTGCCTCTCCCTCTGCCAGCTTCTGTTTACCTGAATCCATTTACAAAAGCAAAACTTTAAAGAGCCAAGAAATGTTCATAAGAACACACAACTGGCACAGATAGGAACAGTCTCCCAACCTCCTGTTCTTATTCCACCATATTCTGGTGTATTCGAGAGTGGCAATAAAAACAGAGCAGATGCAATTAACAGTGGAGGCAAATTAACTTGGCATATGATCATCCTAAGGGTTGTTCCCTCTATAATTGGGTATGGCACTGCCAAGCCAGAAGCACACTCTAATTAGTGCATGCTCTAATATGCAGAGGGAAATTTCACTCCATTTCATATTCAACTCACTTCGTGAAGGGGAAGGGAAATTCAGGCCAATAGAGTAGGAGACTTTTGTGGGGCAGAGCTCATCGTATTCAGGTCACCTCCCTCTGCGATTCCCTCTGCCCAGAAGATAGCCAAGGGACAAAAAAGAAAACACGCCAGTCCTATAAGACATGCATGGGTAGGCTCAAGGGGAACACTAGTCTGTGTGTGTGTGCACATGCATGTGCAAGCTCCAATGGAGGGCAAGCCCATTGAAGGAGAGATTCAGGAGGCAGAGAACGTCTTCAAATGTTTGGCCTCCAGGGGAAAAAATTAAAGCAGCTTGAAATCAGAGACTATAATACTATTATTTTGAGAATGCAATTCAGCAACATTTATTGGATATCTATAATGCTTTAATGAAGATAAATGGAGTATGCTCCCTGCCTTTATAGAGCTTACAATCTAGTGGGAATGTGTTCACAAATAATACATACAAGGCAGACAGCGTTAGGGTTTCATTCACACAGTGTCATTAAAGGGAGGGACAAATACTGAATGGCTGTTCTAACTTATAAATTGTGCAGACCAGGTGAATCATACATAAACATGAATGCTAGATTCTAGATTGCAAAAGGCCAATATCATATCAGGCGTCTCTATTCTAAGTATTAATATAAATTAAATTTTTAAAAATAAGTTGAAGAAGATACCTTAAAAACTTTAAAATCATAAACTCTTTTATTCCCTTACCACATTTCCCATAGAGGACCAACTAGGTTGGTGGGTTGTATAAAATCTCACACAGTCACTTTGCAAGCAAGACTTGCATTCGTCCCAGGAATCTGTCAAAGACTCCTGGCACAGCCTTTCTTCCTCTTCCAGATGTTCTTGAACTTCGTTCATAAGTTTCAGGGCCTCCTAATTAAAAAGTGGAAACAAACATCCTATTTGCATTTCATGACTCTATGTATACTTTAGTTGATTTCACTCTTTAAAAATACCCCAATTCTAGACTACTTCTTCATTCCTTCTTCAGGCCCCTGGCAGCCGACAGATCTACCCCAAAGAAAGCTTTCTCTTCGATTAAGGGCACTGATGGGTTCCTACTGAAGACTGTGAAGAGCTTACCCATCTGTTCATCTATTCACTCACTAGGTATTTACTGAGTGCTTGCTATGGGACAGACATTACTAGACGCAGTCCCTAATTTGGGGAACAACGGTAACATGTTTACTTGTCTGTCTTCATATCTAGTTCTTGAGGGCTGTAGAAGGTAGTTTTAAGGCTTAGAAAACTGACACATTAATCTATTTCAGTTATGCCGCCTTTAATTTTTTGTAAGTTTTTAACGCTGCAAGAAAGTGCAGGTCTTGTATATCAGATCAAGTCTTCCTATTCATAATTCTCATTGTGGGGATGCTGTACGTTTTGCACCTTCGTTCTTCTTGTCCATATCCCGAGCACGCCCCCTTGTGGCGACTTGCTGCACTTGGCCAAGTCCCGCTCTGGGTGGTGAGGAGCCCAGCAGAAGTGACACAGTCCGTAAGAACTTCAGCCCTGTCCCCTGAGCTCCTCTCAGGCTGGCCCCCCGCCCGTCCCCTGGCCTCCCTACCAGCGCGGACTTCTGACGGCAGGCTCCCTCCAGGCCCGAGGTGTAGTTCACGGGAATTATGGGGAATAATGGACCCAGCCGTTAGAAGACAGCGGCAGAGCTAAGGGCCACTCCCCTAAGTGAAAACTACACGAGGAGGCAGTTTTTTGTGCTTAAAAATAATTTAGTGTGTGTCCTCAACTAGTGAAAAAACAAGAATTCACCCTTTTCTGGCATAGGAAGCCCAAAGAAACACCGGGGCACTGACGATCTTCGGCATCTCCTTTGCTGGGCCTGCTCAGCTGCCCTCATGGCAGGATTCCGAGGCTAAGCCAGGTGGCATTTGCTGTGTCCCACATTAGGACGGGCAGGGCCCCGCCTACTAAATGTACCTTGTGACCCAGACAGGGTTTTCTTATCTCCTTTGCAGAGCAGCTCTAGAACTCTACATCTTCTCGCAGGAGGGTGCCTCACCTTGACAGGCAGCGATACCACCAGCTTTTCTCAAGTCCCAGTTTTAAATATTCTGCTCGTTGTCATCATAAATCTAAATCCCAATATTTCCAATTCCAAACTACAGTCACTGCCCTTGGGCAAATAGGAATTAAAAATAGGATCTACCTTTTAAGGTTTTGTATTAAGTGAGATAAGCAAGCAAGGCATTAAGCAAGTTATTTGTAGTATTTCCTAGTTTTCTTCCACTGGCCCCCAAGTGCATAACAAAAACTAATACCGAATCACGTCCCAAGTTTTGGCAGTGAAATGTTGCCATGGAGGAGGTAGCTCTCTGTTTTAGGAATGCCCTGCCCATCCCTTTCATTTCCCCCTAAATGTCTCACCCATTGACAGTCCATATCAATTCCTGTAATTTACAGCTTATTAAAGTCCCATCTGAACCTGGAGTGGGGGCAAACTAAGCCACTAGGGTTTTCCAGTTTAGTAAGTTTCTGATGTTCTCAGTGAATATTAATAGGAAGGGACTGAGGAGGGGGGTTGATATGATGCTGGGTCAACTGAGGATGGGTGGTGCTCAGTACTGGGAGATGGGGGGCACCAACCCCATATATACCAATTCATAGCTTGTCTAAAGTTTCCCCTATTCTAGGTTTAAAGTAATTTTAGGAGACTTAAGGTTAAACAAGTTTTTCTTTTAAAAGATTAACTTTTTAAATTGAGTGTCCAGATCTTAAGAATGTGATTCAGCCCTAATCGGTTTGGCTCAGTGGATAGAGCATCGGCCTGCGGACTGAAGGGTCCCAGGTTCGATTCCGGTCAAGGGCATGTACCTTGGTTGCGGGCACATCCCCAGTGTGGGGTGTGCAGGAGGCGGCTGGTCGATGTTTCTCGCTCATCGATGTTTCTAACTCTCTATCACTCTCCCTTCCTCTTTGTAAAAAATCAATACAATATATATATATTTTTAAAAAGAGTGTGATTCAATGAATTTTTATACAATAAAGAAAAATTAAAATTTTATGAGTCCTAGGATTCTTTAGGGCCAGAACTGAAACCAACCCCTGCTTACTTGACCCACCCAAATTGGAGCATTCTCTTCATAGGACTACACCCTGGGCTTGCCAGGAGGCTGGGCAAAGGGGGAAAAACAAAGCCACTGGGGCCCACAGGCAAAGCACCAGCCGACTTTCTCCCCAGCCATTCACGACAGTGTTGGGTTAACCTGTTAACATCTCAAACCACACTTTCCTCATTTATAAATGAAAGTAATGTTTTACCCAGGTTTTGGAAGGATTACTAGTATATGTGATAATGTTTTATTTCATTTTATTTTTAAAAATACATTTTTATTGATTTCATAGAGGAAGGGAGAGGGAGAGAGAGATAGAAACATCAATGATGAGAGAGAATCATTGATTCGCTGCCGCCCACACTGTGGACGGAGCCTGCAACCCGGGCATGTGCCCTGAACAGGAATCAAACTGTGACCTCCTGGTTCATAGATCACCGCTCAACCGCTGAGCCACGCCGGCCGGGCATATGTGATGATGTTTTACGCATGGCCTGTAAGTGACATTTGGTGTCATTAGTCCCGGAGGCCAGGCTCACAAGCCCACCAGGGAAGAGGGAAGCCCAGAGGCTTGCTTCCACATTTTCCTCAGGAAGGAGTTATTTTTCATTTCCTAAAAATCCTTTGCTTCCTGCCAAAAGGAAGGAGGGCTTTCAGCTGCTGGTCAGGCAATCTCCTTTCCTTGCTAGGGACCGGCAGGATGTGGGGGTGGAGGTATGGTGATAGGCCACCGCAGCTTGTCACACAGCCCCGCTCCAATAGCTCACTGGCCCGGAGGCCACCGTGCCGGGAGGGGGAGAGAATCCCAGCAGCCACCTGAGGCCTCCACCTTCACAGGTGCAGGGAGGAAATACTAGAACTTCTATTTGTATTTTTTAGATTTAAAAATTGACTCTGGGGAGGAAAAATTGGGAGTTGTTTAATGAGTACAGAGTTTCAGTTTCGTAAGATGGAAAGAATTCTGGAGATTGGTTGCCCAACCACGTGAATGTACTTAACGCTACTGAACTGTACGCTTAAAAGGAATGAAGATGGTAAATTTTATATTCTGTGTATTTTACCACAGTTTTAAAATTATTTAATGAAAACACATTTAAAAAGTAATTTCCTCTTATGTTAACATTTAAAACATTTCCCAAGTTCTGTTTGTTAAAGTTTTGATCTCCTCTTTGATTTAAAGGGTAATACTGGAAAACAATTTTAAAAAAATGTTTTAATTGTTTTGAGTGTTATATTAATGGTTAATGCTATAAAACTATGAGCCACGCAATGCCTATAATTTACAAATGTATTGAGCTTCATAATCGTAACATATGGACAATTTTTAACATCTTCCATGGACATTTGAATATAATGTGTATGCTCTGTTGGCAAGGTACATGGCTTGAACCATAGCTGTCAGGTCAAGGTATTTGAATTAAAAAAAAAATGGTCGGGCTGATGTACTATTTCATACCCTGGTGCTCTGTTGTGTGCTGTGTCAGACCAGTGCATGAGGCCCTCCGCCTGTGAGGAGCCTGGGGGAGGGGGTCCTCACATCCCAGAAGCACTGACATTGGTGTCCCCTCTGTTCACTTGTAGCCAATTGCAATGAGTTGGGTTTCAGAAGACTCAGTTACATGACGGTTTTTATTGTCTGTTTTAACTAAACTAGCCCTCACTAACTGGACAGGAGGCTAAAAACCCAGCAGATTATGAATAATCTCAGCTCAGAAGACAAGAAGCAAATGGCAGAGCTGACACTTCTTCGTTCTGCGCTCTTTATCGGTGACAGATAAGAATCTGACGATCTAATTGAACCTGGCACATGGGCTAAAATATTTCAAAATATCTAGATTATTTGAAATACAAACTTACATCCCCTCCCCCGCCCCCCGGTTCCAGCTAACCATGAACCTCATCCTAAGTGTATTTTGTGCCTTGAACTACTAGTAGGTGGTAGTAACTCATGTTTTTAATTTATAAATAAATTAATATGCATAATGTGTAGGAGTGAATGCTAACAAATATTTTAGGAATAGGGAGAGGAGATCAAAAAACTTTGCAGACCACTGATCTAGCCAAAAACTCGCTGCACATTTCTGACTCAATATCCTAACTCAGAAGGAACTAAGGATAAGGCATTTTTTAGAAAGCAGCATTCCCAACCAGAGATGAGTCCCCACAATTCCTGGGTCTGGAGCCCTGCAAAGGCCTATTCTACAAGGAATATGTTCTTTGAAGACATTTAAAATTTCTTCAATAAAAGCTGCTCTCCAAAAAAAACTCTATTATTAGGGAAAATAAATAAGTCATCAATTGCCCTTGTAAGTGCAATATGTATGGTCTACATAGTTTAAGAACAGATGTTATTTTCAATCACTGTACCTGTTTTTCCACTCTGCATTTCTTCAGGGTTGTCATTAGATTAGTATGTTCCTCCTCTCTCCTTTCCATCGTGATTTTCATCTGCTTCATACCAATCAAAGCCTTCTTCACCTCTTCACCAACATCTGTATCGCCAGGCTCAGAAAAACCTAAAAAAATATGTTGCTGCTTTTTTCTTTGAGATCTGATCAGATTACAGTGTATCTGTATCAAATACAATGAATTCACCCATTTTTTTCCGTGTCTTCTAGATAGATATTTAATTGTCCTTTTATAGCATCAGACTCTGAAAGCAGATCATATTGAATTAGCTGTCAGCTGCCATGTGGACCAGCTGCCGCATGGATCACACCTTCTGTTCCTCACTGCTGAGCTCCCAGACCACTCAGAGTTCATTTAACCTCAATGTTGCCATTTCACTCAGGGCCTGTTTTCATTTACCCATTTGATTTCTTTCACTTAAAGCTCAAGTGTTTTTGTATTATAGAAAAGTTTGAATTTTCTTCACAATTTATGTTAAATACCCAACTGGGAAGCTCAAACCCAGTGAACAATTTCCCTTTCTCTCAGCTTCAATTACCTTCCCAGGAGGCATCAGACCTGGAAAGTATCTCATTTAATGCAAGATTCTTTAATAACCTACTGGACATCTCTTACCCAATTTAATAATCCCTTAGTGAGTATAAAGTTCATTATAATTCTCTCCACAATAGCCAACGTGGCTTCCTAAAGACCTCATTCTTGCCTCCAAATTTAGATCTCCCCGCAAAAGCAACGTTTTAACTCACGAATTGTTCTAAGTGTTAAGTACCCAAAACATATATTATCAAGCAAAGGTCAGAAGTTAATGAACACAGACCAACCAGATTCAATGTCATTATAACCCATTCTCTCACTATCTCAAGAATAACTGCACAGAATACTTTAGTTGTTTAAATTTTTCCAATGCTAGAAAAGAATTTCACTGTTCATTAAAACCGTGCTTAGAGGACACCAAACATCTGGATGATACCAAGAAATGCAGTCAAAAAGTTGGCAAGTTTTATCTGTGTGATAGCAAACATCTGGATATAGGAATGTTCTCAGATACTCAATTGGAATTTTCTATTTTTTATCCAGATGTTTGGTGTCACGTCTACTTGGTTTGAGTGCCTAGAGAACATCTCACCATGGAACCAGAGGGCCGTCATGAATACGGTTATCTCTCCACTGTAAATCACTGTAAGTGCCAGCAGGACATGCAAACAGGACACGGCACAGATAAAGAAACTAAACATACCCTTCGGGCTTCCATGGACAGCAGCTTTGTCCTTCCAAGTAGGTGCACAGCGACAATCTTTCAACCATGGCAGATACACAATAAACACCAGGAGTGGCAGCTTCATGTTCCCGCTGTTACTACCAAGGAAAAATAAACCTGCATCTAATGCCTGCCATTAGGTTAGTTTCTGTTGGCATCCATTGAAAACACATGGTGACGCAAAGCATTTTTCTGTCAATTTTTCTTTATGACTTTAGACAATTCATAGGCCTGAGACATAGAAAACCTGAAATATAAATTATAAAAACTAAAGACAGCCCAGGCCTCCAGTTTGTTTACATTCTTTATGACAGTTAAGTAAGGTCATCACCTGAAGTGCTTGAAATGTAAGGTAACGGATAGTATGGCTCACAGCCCCATAGAATCCAAATTCCATTTTATTTCCTTGTCAACGGTGAACTCCCCCAAACACAGAATTAGTTAAAATATACCAGAGGGATTTCCCCCTCCAATTCTGAACCTCAAGTGAGTTTTCACCTTGATGGTTAAATACTTTTTTTTAAAAAACAACTTTATTTTTTTTATGAAACAAAGCAGCCTCACACATTTTCTCATAGTTATAAAACCCATCAATATATATAAATTCATAGTTACATGTTTTGCTTCTTAGATAATAAATTTCCTTTTAGATTTAATTTCGTATACATTAATTATAAACATTTAAAATGCAAATGGTTAAAACTTTACAAAGGAAAGTTAAGTGAATTAAAACAACTGTATGCTTTAATAAAGTTAAATCTATAAAACGTTAGATTACCTTAATTCTTCCCAAACACACAAAAACCTTCCATTATTTAGTCAACATTAGGAATGTCTTTTAAATATAATAATAAAATAACATCAGTACTAGTAGTTAAAAAGTTATCATATTTTACATACATCTACGTCTATTATTTGAACTAACTCTTCTCTTTCTATTATGACCCTATTTAGCAAATGAAACTTTTAAATATATTTACCACTAACTTTGCAGTATCTCTCCAGTGAGGTTACCACCAACTCCTTGAAGGACCTTCACTTTTCTCTAATTTAATTTTCATCCGTGTCAGGGATTTAGCCTTGTTCTATGAATTTGATGACACAGTTTTTAATCCTATTAACCTAACATTTTGAGATTAAGAATATGGTTTAAAATTTGGTAGGACTTAGAAAGAAACGCTAGAGGGCGCACTGTGCACATGATCAGGAACAATGACCTCAAGTTACTTTATTTACACAATGTTTTGGTAAGACTCATTAAAGCCATAAAAATATTTTTTTAGTTTGAAATTTATGATATGTATATTCCTATATAGACAAACAAATTTATTTTATTGGAAGCATAAGCAACAATATGAAAGAGGGTATGTAAACTCTTAGATAAGACACTGAAGGTTATTTATATAGTTGTTTGGCATTTTTGGATTAGATGCAAACACATTTTAACTAGATAAAGTAATAAAATTTAGCACATAAAAATGCAAGAGGCCCTGGCTGGTTTGTCTCAGTGGATAGAGCGTCAGTCTGCGGACTGAAAGGTCCCAGGTTCGATTCTGGTCAAGGGCATGTACCTTGGTTGTGGGCACATCCCTGGTGGGAGGTGTGCAGGAGGCAGCTGATCGATGTTTCTGGCTCTTTATCCCTCTCTTTTCCTCTCTGTACAAAATCAATAACATATATTAAAAAAAATAAATTAGTTTAAAAAATGCAATAGGTAAGTATTTCAGCCTCTCTACAATTTGGTAATTGATTAGTTAAACTGATAATGTGACCTCTTAGTAATTCATTTAAAAACAACTTAGTTGTTAGTCACCATAGCCAGGTATAGACTCTACAGCGATGGGTCCCTCTGGCTACTGAAATATGAAGATTGTCTTGGGCCCCTATGAAGGTTCTGAGGGATTAGCCAATCCATAGTGATTACGTGCCCAGTACTTTCTAAGCGGGTTAGATGGACAGTTCTGAACCGGTCTACCTGCTTTTTGAGGTCCCTGAGAAGTTGGTCCCTGTGTTTGAGCAATCTGTAGTCTGGAGTTTCTGTCTGCTCCACTTGGACACTGGGATGGGCAATTACAGGACACACACAGAGGCCAGCTCACACCCCATTTCGGCTGTTTTAGTTGGAAACCTCTTACTGCTATTAGAGAAGAGATCAGCTCAAAGCAAAACTTGAACTATGACTTTAAGTAACCTTATTGAGCAACAACAATTCACATCTATAAATAGAGGTGTTCTGTCCTGAGAGATGACCTGATGGCCAATGGAGGAAGCAGCCCTGTAGGTATTTTTCTCAGGAAGAGAGAACACTGTTCGGGAAAGGTCAGTCATAGGAGACTATCCAGCACTACGCTGACCCTGAGAACTCTTTTCAGTAGTTTGCTGTCGTCCAAGTTTGGGCCTACTTGAGGTCATTCATGGCTGATATCTGTACACGCTTTTTCAGCAAACCCAAATTTTGTTGAAAATGGAGTCATTTAGGCAATTCAGTGGCTCGCCCTCTACTGGCAGGCAGACTTTTTCTGTAAGCCACGTTCCCCCTTTATTTTATTTTTAGCTTTATATATATTATTGATTTCAAAGAAGAAGGGAGAGGGAGAGAGAGAAACAGCAATGATGAGAGAGACTCATTGATTGGCTGCCTCCTGCACGCCCCCTACTGGGGATCGAGCCCACAACCCAGGCATGTGCTCTGACTGGGAATCAAACCCAGACCTTTTGGTTCACAGGTTGATGCTCAATCCACTGAGCCACACCAGCCGGTCGGGTGATAGCTTGAAGTTCAAAGCTCAGCATGATCTGTACAGATGTCTGCCTCGCCCAGTTCCCTCATCAGCCCTATCATTTTTTGTTTGTTTATGTAAATAAAAGCACATGCTGACACATTCCTCCCCCCACCCCTGCAGGTCTGTATTTTGCTTCTCACTTAGCCTCATGCTCTGAAGACCTTCACAGCAGCACGCAGCTCACTCTCGCTCTCGCTCTCGCTCTCGCTCAGAGCTGCCTGGTGTCCCAGCAGCCCGGGCGAAATAACCCAGGCCCTCCCCCCCCTCTGCCCTGTGGGCTCTGCCCCGGGAGCCATGGTATATGTAGGTCGCTGTGCAGGTGGCCGGTGTGACCGAGTTACCGAGCTGGGGCTGCGGGCCAGGTCCCTGTGTCTCCCTACCTGTGGGGACAAGACAGATCCCTCCCCGATGCTGCCGCTTCCACACCCACCTCGGGGTGCAGCACCTGCTCCCAG